TTTTAATGTTTATGCAAATTAGCAGCAGCCAGTTATGAAGGTCGTGTATGGATGTAACCGAGTAAAGAATTGTACGCTTAACTCTGAGTGAATACTATATCTAGCCTTAAGACAGCTTATTGGGGCAGTAACCACAGAAAACAAACAAACAAACTAAAACGCACACACACAGCTAAAATAGCCACAACTAGGTGTACAATTAGTATAGCAAATATCACCGTTCGAGAAGAAATAATGAAAAATACCACGCGCATTTGATGAAAGTGGTTTAATACCACGAGTGCATAGCACGACTTTCATCAAAATGCAAATGGTATTCTTCATTAATTCTTCGAGAACTAAGGTGGTAATTTCTAATGCATCTACAGAAAATACTGAAGTAAAAAAATTATAGCATCTGGCTCCATTATTTTTGCATTTCAAACAACTTAACACGGTAAAACGTTCTCGGATGTGTGCGACTAATTAATTGCACTGATTGAGAAAAAATGCACTGCCAATCMACCAATCAGAAACAAGCATTTTATGTAGATGTGGTATTAGAACAAAAACTTCACCTGTGTGAAGGCATTTCGTTTTTTCATTYACAAGGAGAAGATGCTTACTCATTCAAGCCGGTGAAAGAAGAGAACAACACGACCATCACCCTACCGACCAAAGATGACAACGATGACAATAAAACCGAGGAGAAAAAGACCGATACCACTTCCGGTTAGCACTTATCATGACGTATTTCCGGTTGTTAGAACTGAACACTTATCGACTCTCATCTTATCATGACGTATTTTTTTGGATTTTCTATTCTTAGTTTCTTTCATTCGCGTGCTTTTATAGAGCAGTTTTCGYATGACAGTGAAAAGGCTCAGTGCCGTATGCGTGCCTTGCCGTGACCGTATTTTTTTCTAGAATTTTGATTGGCGGGTTTTTTCTTTGCGCAATATGATTGGTCTGGCAGTGCCGTGACCTTGGCGTGACCGTGTCCACGCCGTGTTCGTGTCGTGTTTTGGGTATTTGATTGGATGGAGAGTAAATTCTTTTGCAATTTGATTGGTCTGGCGCATGCCTTGCARCGTCACGAGCTTTTCACAGTCTGATTTTTACCCTTTCACCTTAATTTCGCCATCGAAAAATCAAACGAGTTAAGGGTTTTTCTTAAGGAATTGAATACATATTCATTGGAAACAAATTTTATTATTTCATACTTTTCCCCCTTTTTTAGTTMGTAAATTCCGTTTCTCTTTTTCCCCCGTTGATTTTGGAAGATATTTATAAGTTTTTCTTATTGATTCAACTAAATATCAGCTTAGCTTGATGGCTACGGTATTGGCTATATAACTCTACCGAAAAAATTCTCGGGCATGCGCAATACCATATAATTGGCGATACAATATAATAATCTCTAATAACCAATAAATATATAAGACAAATACTTACGAATTTTAATAGACAACGTTCGATATTTCAAAATCCTAGCATGTGTCGAGGCTTAGCATGGTGCTTCGTGTATGCTACAAAAATATGATTACCCAACACATTTACTAGTATATTTAACCAAGAGAATATGAACTAAGAGAAGGAATCCCCGTGCCCCATCATGTGCACACTTTGATGCTATTTCTAGAATCTATTCTAAAAATATCATCCAATGATATCATTTATTTGATCGTTTGACTTTCTGCACGCGCATAGTACGCGCGCGCTCTACGCTGTTTGCTAACGTTTTCTTGTGCTTTTCTTATGTTCAAATGTTCAAATCTGCCCTCAAGATGACGATGTAGGTCGAAAGCTTTGGAAAATAAATGT